CCCCTAGCCGCGTCCTGGGGGGCGGGGCCCCTCCATAGCCACGTGTTCAGGGCCGGGGGAACCCACCCCGCAAGCGCCGTGCGCCTGGGGCCGGCGCCCCCTGCAAGTGCCGCACGCCCAGAGCGCAGGCGGCCAATCCGCGGCGCTCCCGGGGCCGGTGCTCACTGTGCGCCATGTGCCTGGGGCCGGCTTCGGCACCGCGCATGCGCCACGTGCCCGGAGCCAGGCCAGCCCCGAGCACTTGGCGGGCACACACAAATGCCCCCGCTGGCGCCATGGCGCCCGTGGGCACCGTGTTGGGGACCACGGTTTTAGAGCATACATATCTTCAGTAGCCCAGCAAACTTTACTGAGGCTGTGGAGGTTAGTGTGAATTGGGAAATCCAGTAGAGAACAAACATCCCTGTTTGCTAAAGTGCAACAGTAAATTAAATACAGATTTAAAAGAGTAAAAATAGAAATTTGTTCTCTTTTCTATTTTTCTTACCGAGAAAGAGGTACCTTCTTGTTCTTCACACATCCAATTACATGTTAGCAGATGGAATGACTTCAAAAATGGCTACTATAATATGCCACTCCCTGCACATGACTGAACAATCACCTTTAAATATAGCTGTTCCCTGACCAGCCAAGCTGTAAAGCCAGGAAATTCCCCAAAACAAAATATACCAGTCATTAAATGTATTTTTTGATTTAAAAAAAAATCAGCCAACTGGCATTACAATTATCCACTGTAGACTGTTACAACTATATTTAATATTACCTTATGACACACTGGAAAAATACATTTTAATTCTAATAAATTGACTACAGAAAATAAAACCATCAAGTTGTCTCATGTATCTGAAGGTGACTGACAAGATCTTTTTCATTTCCAAATCTCATTAAACAATTAGTACACTTATGAGGCAAGTCTGCTGAATGCCTGAAATCCAAATGAGTTTTAAGGTCTTCAATTTGTCCTGTTGAATATTCACAATATTGACATAAATAAATCCCTTCGGATAAATGAGAATTTAAATGCTTGCAATATTCCAACATTCCTGAAAAGCCTTTTCCACAGTCATCACAAACATGAGGAAATATTTTGGTGTGTTCAATAGCTACATGTCTGTTGACGTTCGTATGCAACCTACTCCTAAAGCCACACACTTGGCATACAAAGAAGTTCTTGCATTTGTCAAAACTAATTTTGTTTATCAGGCTATACTGTCCTCGCTCCTTGTTGCTATAGCTATCACTTAACTCTATTAATCTACAGGCATGCTCATTTACCACATGGCTATGCAAGTCTTCTGGATCATTGGTTTCATGCTCACAAAACTGACATAAATACTGTTCATCACAGCTGTGTTCCTGGAAGTGCAGATAGAGCTCACTGCTCGAGGAAAATTGTACATCACACTGCTCACACCAATAAAGATGGTCATTGAAATGAGTATCTGCTATGTGCTGACTGAGGTTCTCAAATATCACGGTTTTGTAGTCACAGTATTTACAGATGTAGGGATCTTCCTCATGTATTTTTACATGTTCAATCAGCAGAACTTTGCTGGAGAAACTCTCTTTACATACTCTGCAGACATTGGTATCTGTACATGTCTTATGCTTCAGGATCATATGCTGCTTTAAATCAGAGAAGTACTTGCTATTAAACTCGCACAGCTCACACTTGTATAGGCCACTACTGTTGGCTCTCAGCAAAGGCCACTTCTGCTGAGCAGTGATATTCAAAGCATGGTTCTTCTCAAAAAGCTTACAACTTTCAACAGGTATTTCCTCAATGTCTTCAGCTTCTAGCTTTTCAGGTGAAACAGTTTGTGTCTCTATGTCATGAACTTCTACAGCATTAACTTCTGTAGTTGAAATTTCTATGGTTTGAATATCTATGGGTTTCTCCTCATCAATTGGACTGTCACCGAATACAGGTGACTCACACATATCTTTATAAATTCCATTATTAGCACCTTTCTCTGCAAGAGAAAATGGAAGATACAAGACAATTAAAAAAAATGAAACTATGTTGCAGATGGGTCGATACATTGCTTTTCATTGGCTATAGCAGTTAACAAAAGTAAAAAGCTACTATTTTCCTCAAGCTACTGAAACCAAATTTCCTTTCAATAAGGACACTAGCTAAATGAAATAGCCTTACATACTTATATCAATCTAACATTTTTCTTCATGATCAACATTTTCCATCAGTTACATTAAAAGACAATACACAAATCCTTCCCCAACTACAAAGAACTTTTTTCAATACCCAGCCATGCATGATTTCTGCAAATATACCTTTACAATTACCTTTCTTTTTTGTCTCTGCAAAGGGCAGCCCCATGACATTTGACTGTGTTCCAGTCCAATGAGATGTCCCGGCATGCACAGGGCTGCCATCATCATCAGTATCTGGGGTCTGTGCAGGAGCGTGGAATTTACCTATGAGGATAAGGCAAGTCTGTTTTTTTCCCCCCTCAACATCCCAATGTTCTCTAAAATGTCTTTGTAATAACCTCAAATATTACAGCACTGTGGTCACAATGTAATACACCAAATTCTACAATCAAAATACCCACATTATGGCCTTCATTTTCTATACAGACAGAGCGCCAGACATGCAATGCTTTACCCAGATTCTAATGCAAAGCCATCAAGATAGAGCATATTATACTGGGACCTGGTAATCTCTGTAGGCTGCCTCCTCACATTCAGGAGAAGGACAGCTAAATCAACTTTGTCAATCCTGAGCACTCCATTTTTGTTTTATGTCCAGCAGGGGGAGATCAGTCTTAAAATATAATACAACTGCACCCAGGATTAATATTATCCAATAATGAAAATAGCATGGAGTCCTCTAGATTTGAAAACTGAATCTTGATGAGCAACATAATTCAGAGAAGAAAACCAGACATTTTAAATATTTCTTATGTTTAACCTGCATTCACATTTCATACTGATTCACCTTAATGGAGGGGATACTATTTTTCACCCCAACAGGTAAAAACAGCACACCTGACTTCCCTTAAAAGTGCAAAATTAATTATTTTCTTCTAATAGGGTACCTTTTGTCAGCTGGTAAAAACACATGCTAAAATAGCTGGGTTCCAGAGAAGTTAAACTGTTTTATATTTTAAAGAATGCACTTCATGCTAAAAATAATTATTTCAACATTTTACTGTGCCATATACTGTAATATTTATAATCAGGATTGAGTTAAATACCCTTGATTCATAAATTTGTTGAAGTTTCCTTGTATTGTAGTATAAACTTAACTGATGGCTCTACATTACACAGCTCTCCACTAAATGTCTGCTAATTGAGTTTCTAATTTTTACTCCAGACCTCCAGTTTCTCTTTATATGTTAAATGTGTAAAAAGATCCATTTTAGAGCTCTAGCAAATATTTATGACCAGACTGAAAATGACCAGCAGATTCAAAAGCTGATAAGATGCTCTGTCTGTAAACAAGTTTTAGACAGCAAATAGCTAGAGCTGAATATGCTGAAAAATCTTTTACAATCCTTAAGAGGAAAAATTCAATTTTTAATGAGGCAGAATGGAAGCATTGATGATACAAATGTTAACAGCACAGTCTTTCCTATTCACAGTATTTTAATTATAATGTTCTGATGATACTTCTGGAGATTCATTGTTAATTCTATTGATGTAAGAGAGAAAGGAAGTCTATACTCACATTCACTCCATTCCATACTTCACAGGTAACACTAAACAGTCGGCACTTGTACACTGAAGTTGTTTTTTAGAAGCCCAAGTCAAACATTTAAAGGACATTTCTGATAAAACATCCCATGCCATCTAAATTCAGCCTTTGTTTATATTATTTTGACACCATTCAATACATTTTAAAATTGTGGAGTCTGATAGTTGTCCTAAAAACTGGGAACTGCTTGGCCTCCAATAGTTCCACATTTTATTACGTTATACTATGAGAAATATAATTTAATTACAATTATTTAATAGCTTTCTGCCAGTCTTGAAGTGGAAATTTAAATGCACTTACACAGTAAAGTTGCATTATTTTGTATTTTGTTGCTTCTTCTCTGGACCAAACTTTAATACATCTAGATAAGCGTTTGCTGGAAAAGATTAATGATATAGGAAAGTAATCTTACCTCTGTTTTCAGAAAGTCTTATGTCTGGCTGTTTCATAGAACAGACACTGTAACAGTGGTCAGAAAAGATTCCATTGTTGTCAATATATTTGCTTACACCTGAAGAATCTTGACAGAAAAAGAGGGGAAAAAGTATTTAAATCCCAAATTGATATAGCAACACATACCTTAGTGGAAACATCTTTGTTTCTTACAGCCTTCAAACTTAAAAGACTCTGATACTAAAAATATTCAGCATTTATATAATTTACATTTTCAAAGCACTATGCAGATATTGTTGGTTTTCAAAATCACTCAATCTTAGAAAATATTAGAAAACTCCCACAGACCACTGAGCACACATGATAATCTCCCCTAAACCTCAAAACATCTTTGTATGTTAGCAGCTTTAAGCATTTAAAGATTGGGAAACAGATGTTAAGTAGCTTTCCCAAAGCCACAGAGGAAATGGAGAAGAGCAAGCAATTAGAAAAACTTTAACAATGATTGGCTGACATGGAACAGTTTTTAAATTGTTTACAAGTGGAGCACTCAAAGTGGATAGTGTATGTTCATATGTATGTTTCAATTTGCCTCTTAGCTTATGAGTCCTTCATAAATCTTTGCATTTTAGTTTTCCAGGAAATGAGAGGTTTATTTTGAGGAAAGTTACAATAACTTACACATTGAATTGTCAACAGTTCAAGCTCTAGATTTACCTGAGTAACGTGAAGGATGTAAAGTCTTCCTTTTTCTTTTTTTAGGATGTTCATTCATTTTGCTTCAGCCTAAATCAATTAAAAATTACAACATCCAAGAACTGGTTACATCTGTTCTCTGCTGATTTGCAATCATGGATCAGTGCTTAAAGATTATTTATTAATATTAGTATGCCAGCAAAGCACAGAATTAGATTCCCCCAAAAGGTAAATTCCTTGCCACAAAAACGAAACTAATACCCAAATCTGCGCGCAATGACCTAATCTGAAAGATAAAAACTGGTGTTCTGCCCCTATTATTTTTGGTTTAATTTGAATGAGCATGGAGACAGAACTACCCTCTGATCTGTAGACACACATCCAATCCAGGCACAGACATATCAGTACAACAGAATGCTTCCCAAGCCATACCTGGGGCTCTGAGGTCAGAGCAGAGTTTACCATTTTGTGGGTTCAGACACTCAGGGTATGACCAGAGGGCTTGGCTTCAGTGAGGCACCATATGGGTACTGACATCTGCCCACAATGGTCAAGACCATCTTTTATCTTTTTAGATACAGTCACGAATACTATTATATGGTGTTGCCTTGTGTAATTGGCAGTTACAGATCAAGCTGATTACATTATATGTAATGGGTTTCAAAAGTGACACGGGCCATGTCTATACTAGTGATGTATGTGAATAGTCAAGTAGTTGACTACTTGCATTTCCTCCCCACCTTGCTTCCTCTGTATCAGTAGCACCCGGAGGGAGGCGGAAGGGCAGGGGCAGCCCCTGGCCATGGGGGGTCCAGCAGGGGTTGCTTTGCAGCAGCAGCCCCTGCCCAAGAACAGGGGCTGCTGGACCTGGTGTGAGCAGGGTCTGAGTGCCTTCCCTTATTGACTAATCAAGTAGTCAGTACAAATTGTATCAACTACACAATTAGCCAATTACCTAGCTGTTAACATCCTTAGTCTACTACACTATCAAGGTTACAGCAGCAAAACTGTACCAATGTGGGAGAGCTTTTGCATCAACATCATTAAACCACTACCATGAGTAGCAGTAGCTATTTTGGTGGGAGAAACTCTTCCACTGACAAAGCTCTGTCAACATTGGCATTTCTTTTAATGTAATCTATGTCACTCAGGAGTATCTTTATTCACACTCCTGAACAACATAATTTTTACCAATACCACTAGTAATGTAGACAAGTCTGAAGCACTAGTCCCATTGACTTGTGTTTCTAAGCGACTTCTGAAAACTCCAATGTCTTTTAAGTTACCATTTTCTGCCTCCCACCCTCCTGGAATAATTTCGTAGTATTGTGCTAGAAACAACTGCTAAGCACACAGAAACACTACTAGACTCTTGTTTCGTACCTCATTCCTTGGGAGAGAAGAGTTATGGAGTTCACCCCATAAGGAGGGACGATCAGCACTTTGAGTCACTGCCAAGTGGTCGACGTGACACAGGAAATGGCATTTCTACAGCCAAATACTGCCATCTTTTTTTTTTTTTGAGATTACCCCTGTAGTGGGCTTTTTGGGAGAGATTCTGGACAACTTCTCCCCAAAATGCAGAAAATGTTTACATGGTGAAAATATAGAAAGAGCCCTGGACTACCCAACTTACTAGAGGTAATCTTCAATATCAGCAAGAGGACTAATAACTAAGAAATTTATTGTTATACAACATCCAATAATGGAAAAAGTATCTGCAAGAAAAAAATGTAAGTTATATAGCAGTAACATTTTAAAATTCTGATAGCACTAAGTGCAAAATTTCAGGGTTGGTAGTATCACAAATACTGAAAAAAGGCATCTGGAGAAATCAGAGCACAATTCGAAATCAATAAAAAAGTTAATACCAGTTTAATTTTAAAATATTTGAAAGCCATACGATATCTGTTTATCAAAGATATTTATTTCAACTTCTGCATAAACTTGTTGGCTGCGTCTAGATTGGCAAGTTTTTCCGCAAAAGAAGCTGCTTTTGTGGAAAAACTTGCCAGCTGTCTACACTGGCCACTTGAATTTCCGCAAGAACACTGACGATCTCATGTAAGAAATCAGTGCATCTTGCGGAAATACTATGCTGCTCCCGTTCGGGCAAAAGTCCTTTTGCGCAAAAGGGCCAGTGTAGACAGCTCAGATTTGTTTTGCGCAAAAAAGCCCCGATCGCAAAAATGGCGATCGGGGCTTTTTTGCACAAAAGCGCGTCTAGATTAGCACACATGTTTATCCACAAAAAGTGCTTTTGTGGAAAAGCATCCATGCCAATCTAGACGCTCTTTTCTGAAAATGCTTTTAATGGAAAACTTTTCCGTTAAAAGCATTTGCGGAAAATCATGCCAATCTAGACGTAGCCGTTGCCTTTTTCTGCCCGTCATTAGCTTACAACAGCAGACAAATAGATTGAGATGATTCTAGAAACAGCTGGGACATATTGGTCATCAATAAAACAGGGCCTACTTTGAGATGAAATCTCAGAATGCATCATATTCTGACTCTCCGTCAGCTTCAACATACAAATACATAGAGCCCTGTGTGGATACAAAATTGGTATTTGCATCTGCAAAACTGATCCACGGATATCTACAACCACATCCATAGATGCAGGTATCTATGTTATTTGCAAATTTGCAGGGTTCTACATACAAAATTGGTATCCACAGCCCTAAAAGTGGGCCTTGGATATACCTGTGAATTTGTAGGACTCTACATATACAGGACCTGCCTTAAACCCCCAATCCTTCTCATCAGGGACACTATGACCTCAGTAGCCTGGAGAAAGAGAAGATCGTATAGAAGTTGGATTATGAGAATAGTTTAAGAACAGGGATGGGGAACCTAAAACCTGGGGGCTAGATCTGACCCCCAAGGCTCAGAGCTCCCACCCAAGCATTGGTGCTCCAGCTCTCCCTCAGCTCCCAGGGTCCTCCCAACTGGAGCACACAGAATCTCCTAGCCTGGGTCCCCTAGGCTGTGGTGTGCAAGGGAGATAAGGGAAATGTCATTCTCCTTCCAGTCAGGGGCCAGGTCAGGGAGACTGGTTTTAATTTGCTTCGCTTTTCACTTGTGTGAGAACCCTGACTGATTTTTCTGTGGGTGGGTGGCTCCGACCCAAAAAAGGTTCCCCCGCCCCTACTTAAGAAAGGAAAAAAACCCCAAACAGCGCCTCATATTCTGCCTCCAAAGTCTGGGCTCGCCAGCGCTAAGAGCTCCAGCTGTGAATGGGCCTATTTGAAATCATGGGAAGGTGGGCGGGCAAAGCCCGCCCACATTCTAAAAGCCCCTCCCCAACCTTGTGGGAGGGACACTGAACCCATGTTCAACTGAATCCAGGGGACAAAAAATGACAACAGGGTCAAGGAGTGCGGGTCACAGGTTTAAAATAAGGGAACTGGATGGGGACACCGAGCAGAGAACCCCGGACAGCGCCCACTGCTCCTCAAAGCTGTCGATGGAGCCAGTGGACACCGCCCAGAGGAACTCTGCTCGGATTTGTGACACTAGGGAAGAACGGAAATAGGCCCCACAGTCGCAGAGAACCCCCTCGTCTAACATCCTCCTTCTGCTATTATAGATGGCAGCTTTCGCCAAGGCCAGGAGGAGGTTGACGAGGAGGTCTCGCGACTTTGTGGGGCCACGGATTGGGTGTGCGTAAATAAAAAGGTGAGGGAAAAAGTGCAGCCAGAACCTCAATAATAGGTTCTGGAGGAGCCGGAATAGGGGCTGCAACCTGGCGCATTCAAGGTAGGCGTGCGCCAGATTCTCCCTCACGCCGCAAAAGGGGCAGGTGTCCGGGATTGGGGTAAACCGCGCTAAGTACACGCCCGTGCTCACGGCCCCGTGAAGGAGCTGCCAACTGATGTCCCCGACGGGCCGCGGAATTAAGGTGGAATAAACGCTGGCCCATCGGGGTTCCCCGCCCTCTATAGGTCTGAGATAGTCCCGCCACTTTGTATAGGGGCGGGACACGAGGGTGGGGAAATGCAAAGTGTGGAGCACGAGCATGCGTGTACAGCTTTTCCCTGGGCGCGGTCCGGAAACAGACCAGCTGCAGATTTTGCAGCCGGCTGGGGGTCCAAGTGTGGGGAGGCCACGGGGCCCGCGGGACAGGGGCCCAATAATAAGGGACGGAGGCTTTGCAGGAAGGGAGGGGCGGGGCGGCCCCC